GAAGCTCAGAAATATTATGTATCTGAGAAAGGAGCAAAAAACAAATGAGAACTCTTAAAACAGGCCTATCGAGGGGAAAATTGTCTAGGCCAACTATTATACCTGGGAGTTCCCACACAGGTAGGGTACCAAGAACAAATCTTTCATATTTAACCCCATACTGTAGTTAGTATTCTTGTTCTGATCTAATCTGTCAATAATTTTTTCTGTAATATCCCAAATCCTCTGACCTTACCATTCTTCATTTCTTCCTTCAGCTGGCACTCCTGGAACAGGATCCAGACCCAGTGAGATTGAATACCTCATAGTTGGGGTTTACAATTAATTATGACCCTCCACAAGCTCCCATTTTGGAGGTGTTCTTTCCTGCAGAGTTGTTTGTATTTACTCAGTATTTTCTTTGATTTAACATATTATTAATACACTTTCAATGCCTGCTCATGCCTCACAGCTGTAACTTCCTTACGAATGGCTATTGGTGAAATCCCTGTAAGAGGTTTCCTCTTTGATGGCATATACATCACCAAGATGATAGAAGACCCGAGAATATTCTATATGTGGGTAGAAGAGAAAGCAATGTGAACTCTTAAGCCTATGCTACATATAGGTCCTCTTGCTCAAAAGTGCAATAAGGATAGTCAGTAGTTTTTGACACATTCAAACAGTTTTCTGGTTTTCCTCTCACATTAGGCGCCACTGCAGTGCCACAAGGCCAAGCAACTGGGAGTGTGACAGGTGAGCCTGGGAGAAACCCAGATTTGTCTTCATTTTAAGAGATTAGAATGTCTGTAGACAGTGACTTACATTGGAAATATTGCAATTTTTACTACTTTCTTAGTAATATGGATTATAGGAAAGGTATATTACTGTCAACTCATCAGGAAGTAGGGAAAGGGCCCTTTGATATAACAAAGATACACTTAGATTCCTTCTAGAGGCAGCTCTTTAGGAGCTGTATAGGAATCACCAGGAGGCACCGTTGAAGATCTCAGAACTTTTGTGTTTCAGGCACCACTGGCCCAGCTGTTGGCACAACTGTTGCACCTGGCAGTTCCAACACAGGTAAGTCAACAAGGTGGCAGGGAATCTTTCAGATGAGATTTCTCTTCTGTTGTTATCATGTGTAGCAGAGCTACCCTACCTTTCTGTGGTCCTCAAATAATTTTCAATGATCTCTAACCTCTTTTCCTCTATATTGGGGGCCAGGACTTCTGTAGAAGATGGTGGAATAACAAGAGGTTGTTTGTTTGTTTTTTCCCTTCTCTTAGAAACCACAACTTCCACAGGAGGAAGTAAGGCTACACAGGGAAGATTGCCAGGAGGTAAGCTTCTTAGTCCAAAGCCTAGGAAATTGATGACGAACTTTTACAAAGATGAAGCATCATCTGCCTTTTTCTTCCTTTAGGCACCTCTGTCACACCTGGGAGTCCAGGGACTGGAAGTGGAACAGGTGAGGGTGACATAAGACCTCCTTTCTCTTTCACTAGGATCTTGGCAAAGGGAACTCCAGTAGCTACAATGATCCATAGATGGGCAAGGAAGGACATTGTGGAAAGTTATGTACAGTTATGTTCCCTCTGAAACAGAGATCCTAAGAAAAGATCTTCTGGTCATTCAAGGACACACAGCTGCTTCAGTACTGAAGAGGGAGCTAATGCTGTGTTGATGGCTTTATCTTTGTCATTTTTAAATCCTACACGGGAATTCACTAGGACCATCATTATATCTGGGGGTCGCCAAAAAGATAGGTTCACAAGAAGAAATCTCCATATTTAAACCCAATAACATTATGTCCTCACTGATACAATATCAACATAATTCTTCTGTCATACGTCAAATCCTCATTCCTCACCTTTCACCATTTTCTTCCTTCAGAGGCTACAACATCAACAGAAGGCAGTGGCACATCGAGAACTGGATTCAGAACTGGTGAGAAAGAGTTTCCGCAGTTGGGGTTTACCATTAATGATGGCTCTTCTTAGCCTGGCCGCTGGAAGAGGTGCTTTCCTGCAGAGTGGTTCTCATTTGCTTCCAGTTCTTAGATTTACAATATTTTTGAAAACTCTCAATATTAGCTTCCAGTCCTACAGGTGTTACTATGTAAGGAAAGGCTGGTGATCAAATCAGTATGAGAGATTAAACTTGTGATGGCACAGACAACATTAGGATGTCAGTGTGAGATGAGAAATATTATATGAATGAGGAGAGGGAAATGCAAAGTGAACTCTTAAACAGGCGTATCCTATGCACAGGGGTTCTCGCTCAAAATGCAAATAATTATATCAATAGTTTTCTGGGACATTGAAATATTTTCCTGTTTATCCTTGTATGGTAGGCACCACTGTGAGGATGAGAGATGAATGTAGGAGAAAGGCCCCTCTTTAACCATATTTGACTGAATGGAATTTCTGGGACAGTTTCTCATGCTGAGAACATTACTGTTTTTATTGCTTTCTTACTGATGTTGGTCATATTAAAACCAGATTCTCACCTCATCAGGAAGTAGAGACAGGGCCCTTTGCTCTAACAAAGATACACCTAGAGCCCTTCTGGAGGGAGAACGTCAGGAGATGGACAGGACACCTGTTGATGATCTCAAACCTTTTGTGTTTCGGGCATCACTGGAATAGCCCTTGGCACAGCTGTTGCTCCTGGCACTTCCAAATAGGGAAGGCAACAGGGTGACATAGGATTTTCTCATGCCCTCTCACAGGTTAGTTGTCTGCACTGATATTATTCATTGCGGGACTACCACCTAGTATTTTCAATGATCCTGAAATATTCTTTCATTACCTCTTTTCCACCCTATTTCCCCCAGTAGCCACAACATTCAAAGTGGTACAACTAGAATTGGAATAGACGCAGGGGAGTGCTACTAAGCTAACACCTACATATCGTAATAACCTTCTTAAAGCAGTCTTCCAAAAATTTTCTACACTATTTATATATGTTACTGTTCGGAAAGTTCAGATTTTAAAAAGATAAGCTACACATTACATTGCCTTCTTATTGCCTAAGCTTACAAGGGCCTTCAGTAGACAACCATGAGTCTAACCAATGACCAATACATAGGTAGTATATAGAGAGATATTTCTCTCTTCCCGCTATAAAAGGAGACATGAGAGTTGAGAACTCAGTAAAACAGTTATGGGAAAAAAATGTTGCATGGGGCACTTTGGATGACTTCTTGGCAGTAAAAGTGACAGGGTTGTAGTTTGCTATTACATGAAGATGTATATTTTTATTTAAATCACGCGATGAGAAAAAAATTGAGCTAGGATTACCACGATTTTCTTCTTGTAAGTAATACTGATAAAGTTCTGGAAAACCTCTTGAACAAGGAAGATATGTCACAGGCAAATCTGAAAATACAATAAAAATGTGACATTGGCGGCTTGTATGATCTATTCTGACAATATTTCCCACCACCTAGTCTTACTCCTTCCCTTCTTTTCCTCTATCAGAGGCCACTACTTCCACGGAAGGAAGTGGGACTACCCAAGCAGGACTTGTAGGAGGTGAGTTTTATTTTAAACTGAATCTCTGGGGTTTTGAATCAAATCCCTGTTGTGTGGTAGAGTAAACACTTGAGGGGACGGTGGGCAAAGGAAATGGGCCTGTATTTCCTCTAGGAACACAGCATGCCAGAGTCACAAACTTACATAAGCCTGAAAACAATATTCTCATATTTCCCCATCTAAATTGCAAGGTCCAGGCCTACAGTGCTAGTTCTTTCATTGACAGGTATGCAGCCACCCTGTGGCCCTGCTCCTGCCTATCAAGGCCTCAACCTTTATATATGGTTGGACATTTTCTTATAGCCTTTACTAACATCTGTCACTTTGACTTATCCTGTTTGTTGATCACTGTTGGTCTCCAGCTGGTAGAATGTAAGCCACATTGGGGAGGGATCTTTGAATATTCTGTTCACTGATATATTCAAATACCTAAAATATTATTACATGGAAAAGATGCTTAATAAATAATTGTGGAATCATGAAATGTGTATTTATTTTGAAGCTCACACTACTTGCTTTAATAGGTACCACAACACTTTCACCTGGAGCCAGCAGCAGTTCACAGACAACCAAACCAGGTAGGGTCACTAAGTAAATTCACCATAGGAGAGTATTAGAGTCCCACATTTCTACTTTAAATGTTGCAGTGTCAAAAGCCTTCATGTAATTGATGACGACCTTTTACAAAGATGAAGCATCTTCTGCCTTTTTCTTCCTTTAGGCACCTCTGTCACACCAGGGAGTCCAGGGATTGGAAGTGAAACAGGTGAGGGTGACAAAGACCTCCTTTCTCTTTCCCTGGCATCAATAAAATAGGAAACTCCAGTATCAACAATGATCCGTATGTGGGGCAGGGAAGGACATTGTGGAAAGTTATGGACAGTTAGTTAAGTTCCCTCTGAAACAGAAATCCTAAGGATAGGTCTTCTGGTCATTCAAGGACACACAGCTGCTTCAGTACTGAAGAGGGAGCTAATGCTTCATTGATGTCTTTATCTTTCTCATTTTTAGGTGCTACACAGGAATTCACTAGTATGATCATTATATCTGGGGTTCCCACACAGAGAGGTTCACAAGAAATCTCCATATTTAAGCCCAATACCATTATGTCTCCACTCATACAATATCAACATAATTCTTCTCTCATATCACAAATCCTCATTCCTCACCTTTCACCATTTTCTTCCTTCAGAGGCCACAACATCAACAAAAGGCAGTGGCACATCTGGAACTGGATTCAGAACTGGTGAGGAAGAGTTTCCGCAGTTGGGGTTTACCATTAATGATGGCTCTTCTTAGCCTGGCCGCTGGGATGGGTGCTTTCCTGCAGAGTGGTTCTCATTTGCTTCCAGTTCTTCTTAGATTTACCATATTTTGGAAAACTCTCAATATTGGTTTCCTGTCTTACAGGTGTAACTTTGAAAGGAAAGGCTGGTGGTGAAATTAGTATGAGAGATTTATCTTGTGATGGCATAGACATCACTAGGATGTCAGTGTGAGCTGAGATATATTATGTATCTGAGGAAAGGGAAGAAGCAATGTGAACTCTTAAACAGGCATGTCCTATGAAAAGGGTTCTCGCTCGAAATGCCAATAATAATATCAGTATTTTTCTGGGACATTGAACTACTTTTCTGGCTATCCTTGAATGGTAGGCACCACTGTGAGGATGCGACCTGAACACCTATTTAGGATAAAGGCCCCCCCTTTAACCTTATTTGAATGGATGGATTTTTGGTACAGTTTCTCATTCTGAGAACATTACTGTTTTTATTGCTTTCTTACTGATGTTGGTCATATTAAAACCAGATTCTCACCTCATCAGGAAGTAGAGACAGGGCCCTTTGCTATAACAAAGATATACCTAGAGCCCTACTGGAGGGAGGACGTCATGAGATGGACAGGACACATGTTGATGATCTCAAACGTTTTGTGTTTTGGGCACCACTGGAATAGCCCTTGACACAGCTCTTGCTCCTGGCACTTCCAACATAGGGGAGGCAACAGGGTGACATAGGATTTTCTCATGCCCTCTCACAGGTTAGTTGTCTGCACTGATATTATTCATTGGGGAACTACTACCATGTATTATCAGTGATCCTGGAACATTCTTTAATTACCTCTTTTCCACCCTATTTCCCCCAGTGGCAACAACATTCAAAGTGGCACAACTAGAATTGTGCTACAGGGGAGTGCTGATAAGCTAACACCTACATTTCATGATAACCTTCTTAAAGCAGTCTTCCAAAAATTTAAGACACTATTTATATATGTTAAGTTGTGAAAGTTCAGGTTTTCAAAAGATAAGCTAGACATTACATTGCCACCTTATTGCCTGAGCTTACAAGGGCCTTCAGTAGACAACCATGAGTCTAAACAATGACAAATAAATAGGTAGTATATAGAGAGATATTTCTCTCTTCCCACTATAAAAAGTGACATGATAGTTGAGAACTCAGTAAAATGGTCATAGAAAAAAAATGTTATGTGGGGCACATAAGGATAATTCTTATCACTAAAAGTCACAGGGTTATAGTTTGGTATTACATGAAGATATAAATTTTTATTTAAATCATGTGGTGAAAAAACAATTGAGCTAGGACTACCACTATTTTCTTCTTGTAAGTAATACTGATAAAGTCTCTGGAAAACCTCTGGAACCTGGAAGATATGTCACAGGCAATTCTGAAAATACAGTAAAAACTTGACATTGGCAGCTTGTAAGATCTATTCTGACTATAGCCAAGTGTGTACTTTCCCACCAACTAGTCTTACTCCTTCCCTTCTTTTCTCTATCAGAGGCCACTACTTCCACTGAAGGAAGTGGGACTACCCAAGCAGGACTTGTAGGAGGTGAGTTTTATTTTAAACTGAATCTCTGGGGTTTTGAATCAAATCCCTGTTTGTGTGTAGAGTAAACACATAAGTGGGAAGGTGGGTGAAGAAAATGGGCCTGTATTTCCTCTGGGAACACAGCATGCCAGAGTTACATACTTAGATAAGCCTGAAAACCATATTCTCATATTTCCCCATCTAAATTACAATGAACAGGCCTACAGAGCTAGTTCTTTGATTGGCAGGTATGCGGCCACCCTGTAGCCCTGCTCCTACCTTTCAAGGCCCCAACCTTTATATATGGTTGGACATTTTCTTATAGCCTTTACTAACATCTGTCACTTTGAATTAATCATGTTTGTTCATCACTGTTGGTCTCCAGCTGCTAGAATGTAAGCCACATTAGGGGAGGGTTCTTTCAATATTCTGCTGACTGATATATCCAAACGCCTAAAACATTATTACACAGAAAAGATGCTTAATAAATATTTGTGGAATCATGAAATGTGTATTTATTTTGAAGCTCACACTACTTGCTTTAATAGGTACCACAACACTTTCACCTGGAGCCAGTAGCAGTTCACGGACAACCAAGCCAGGTAGGGCCACTAAAGAAATTCACCATAGGAGAGTTTTAGAGTCACACATTTCTACTTTAAACCTTGCAGTGTCAAAAGCCTTCAGGTAATTGATGACAAACTTTTACAAAGATGAAGTATCATCTGCCTTTTTCTTCCTTTAGGCACCTCTGTCACACCTGGGAGTCCAGGGACTGGAAGTGAAACAGGTGAGGGTGACATAAGACCTCCTTTCTCTTTCCCTGGCATCAATAAAATAGGAAACTCCAGTAGCAACAATGATCCGTAGGTGGGGCAGGGAAGGACATTGTGGAAAGTTATGGACAGTTAGTTATGTTCCATCTGAAACAGAGATCGAAAATAGGTCTTCTGATCATTCAAGGACACACAGCTGCTCCAGTACTGAAGAGGGAGCTAATGCTCCGTTGATGCCTTTATATTTCTCATCTTTAGGTGCTACACAGGAATTCCCCAGGACAACCATTTTACCTGAGAGTTCCCACACAGGTAGGTTAACACGAAGAAATCTCCATATTTGAAACCATAATATAGATATTAGGTCTGCTCTGACAAAATCTCAAATAATCCTTTTCCTAATATTCCAATTCCTCTGACCTCACCCTGCACTAATTTCTTCCATCAGAGGCCACAACGGTAACAGAAAGCAGTGGCACTTCTGGAACTGGATTCAGAGGTGGTGAGTAAGAGCTCCTGCAGCTGGGAGTTTAATATTAACTGTGACTATTGTTACCCTGGCCTGCTGGGAGGTGTGCTTTCCTGCAGAGTGGATCACACATGCTGCCAGTTCTTAGATGTAACATATTTTGGAAAAGCTCTCAACACTGGCTTCTAGTTGTTCCAGTTGTAACTTTCTAAAGTGGGGCTGGTGTTAGAATCAATATGAGAAGTTTATCCTGTGATGGCATACACATCACTAAGATGTTAGGAGAAGCTGAGAAATATTATGTAACTGGGAAGGAACCAAAACAATGAGAACTCTTAAACAGGCCTATCGAGTGAAATTCTCTAGGCCAACTATTATACCTGGGAGTTCCCACACAGGTAGGGTAACAAGAAGAAATCTTCATATTTAACCCATACTGTAGTTAGTATTCTTGTTCTGATCTAATATGTCAATAATTTTTTCCGTAAAATCCCAAATCCTCTGACCTTACCATTCATCATTTCTTCCTTCAGCTGGCACTCCTGGAACAGGATCCAGACCCGGTGAGAATGAGTACCTCACAGTTGGGGTTTACCATTAATTATGACCCTCCACATCCTCCCATTTTGGAGGTGTTCTTTCCTGCAGAGTTGTTTGTATTTACTCAGTATTTTCTTTGATTTAACATATTTTTAATACACTTTCAATGCCTGCTCATGCCTCACAGCTGTAACTTCCTTATGAATGGCTATTGGTGAAATCCCTGTAAGAGATTTTCTCTTTGATGGCATATACATCACTAAGATGATAGAAAACCCGAGAATATTCTATATGTGGGTAGAAGAGAAAGCAATGTGAACTCTTAAGCCTATGCTACATATAGGTCCTCTTGCTCAAAAGTGCAATAATGATAGTCAGTAGTTTTTTGACACACTCAAACAGTTTTCTGGTTTTCCTCTCACATTAGGCGCCACTGCAGTGCCACAAGGCCAAGCAACTGGGAGTGTGACAGGTGAGCCTGGGAGAAACCCAGCTTTTGTCTTCATTTTAAGAGAATGGAATGTCTGTAGAGAGTGCCTTACATTGGAAATATTGAAATTTTTAAAACTTTCTTAGTGATATGGATTATAAGAAAGGTATATTATTGTCAACTCATTAGAAAGTTGAGAAAGGGCCCTTTGATATAACAAAGATACACTTAGATTCCTTCTAGTGGCATCTCTTTAGGTGCTGTATAGGAGGCACCAAGATTCGCCTTTGAAATCTCAGAACTTTTGTGTTTCAGGCACCACTGGCCCAGCTGTTGGCACAACTGTTGCACCTGGCAGTTCCAACACAGGTAAGTCAACAAGGTGGCAGGGAAGCTTTCAGATGAGATTTCTCTTTTATTGATATCCTGTGTAGCAGAACTACCCTACCTTTCTGTGGTCCTCAAATAATTTTCAATGATCTCTAACCTCTTTTCCTCTATAGTGGAGGATAGGGCTTCTGTAGAAGATGGTGGAATAACAAGAGGTTGTTTGTTTGTTTTTTCCCTTCTCTTAGAAACCACAACTTCCACAGGAGGTAGTAAGGCTACGCATGGAAGATTGCCAGGAGGTAAGCTTCTTAGTCCAAAGCCTAGGAAATTGATGACAAACTTTTACAAAGATGAAGCATCATCTGCCTTTTTCTTCCTTTAGGCACCTCTGTCACACCTGGGAGTCCAGGGACTGGAAGTGGAACAGGTGAGGGTGACATAAGACCTCCTTTCTTTTTCACTAGGATCTTGGAAAAGGGAACTCCAGTAGCAACAATGATCCATAGGTGGGCAAGGAAGGACATTGGGTAAAGTTATGGACAGTTATGTTCCCTCTGAAACAGAGATCCTAAGAAAAGGTCTTCTGGTCATTCAATGACACACAGCTGCTTCAGTGCTGAAGAGGGAGCTAATGCTGTGTTGATGGCTTTATCTTTCTCATTTTAAAGGCCTACACAGGAATTCACTAGGAAAATCATTATATCTGGGGGTTCCCACGCAGATAGGTTCACAAGAAGAAATCTCCACATTTAAACCCAATACCATTATGTCTCCACTGATAAAATATCAACATAATTCTTCTCTCATATCCCAAATCCTCATTCCTCACCCTTCACCATTTTCCTCTTTCAGAGGCTACAATGTCAACAGAAGGCAGTGGCACATCTGGAACTGGATTGAGAACAGGTGAGGAAAAGTTTCCGCAGTTGGGGTTTACCATTAATGATGGCTCTGCTTAGCCAGGATGATGGGAGGGGTACTTTCCTGCATAATGGTTCTCATTTGCTTCCAGTTCTTAGATTTACAATATTTTGGAAAACTCTCAATATTAGCTTCCAGTCTTACAGGTGTAACTATGTAAGGAAAGGCTGGTGGTCAAATCAGTATGAGAGATTAAACTTGTGATGGCACAGACATCACTAGGATGTCAGTGTGAGATGAGAAATATTATATGAATGAGGAGAGGGAAAAGCAATGTGAACTCTTAAACAGGCATAGCCTATGCACAGGGGTTCTCGCTCAAAATGCCAATAATTATATCAATAGTTTTCTGGGACATTGAAATATTTTCCATGTTTATCCTTGTATGGTAGGCACCACTGTGAGGATGAGAGATGAATGTAGGAGAAAGGCGCCTCTTTAACCATATTGACTGAATGGAATTTCTGGGACAGTTTCTCATGCTGAGAACATTACTGTTTTTATTGCTTTCTTCCTGATGTTGGTCATATTAAAACCAGATTCTCACCTCATCAGGAAGTAGAGACAGGGCCCTTTGCTCTAACAAAGATACACCTAGAGCCCTTCTGGAGGGAGAACGTCAGGAGATGGACAGGACACCTGTTGATGATCTGAAACCTTTTATGTTTTGGGCACCACTGGAATAGCCCTTGGCACAGCTGTTGCTCCTGGCCCTTCAAAATAGGGAAGGCAACAGGGTGACATAGGATTTTCTCATGCACTCTCACACGTTAGTTGTCTGCACTGATATTATTCATTGCGGAACTACCACCATGTATTTTCAATGATCCTGAAATATTCTTTCATTACCTCTTTTCTACCCTATTTCCCCCAGTAGCCACAACATTCAAAGTGGCACAACTAGAATTGGAATAGACACAGGGGAGTGCTACTAAGCTAACACCTACATATCATAATAACCTTCTTAAAGCAGTCTTCTAAAAGTTCTACACTATTTATATATGTTACTGTTGGGAAAGTTCAGATTTTAAAAAGATAAGCTACACATTACATTGCCTTCTTATTGCCTAAGCTTACAAGGGCCTTCAGTAGACAACCATGAGTCTAACTAATGACCAATAAATAGGTAGCATATAGAGAGATATTTCTCTCTTCCTGCTATAAAAGGAGACATGATAGTTGAGAACTCAGTAAAATAGTTATAGAAAAAAAATGTTGCATGGGGCACTTTGGATGACTTCTTGGCAGTAAAAGTGACAGGGTTGTAGTTTTCTATTACATGAAGATGTATATTTTTATTTAAATCACGCGATGAGAAAAAAATTGAGCTAGGATCACCACGATTTTCTTCTTGTAAGTAATACTGATAAAGTTCTGGAAAACCTCTTGAACAAGGAAGATATGTCACAGGCAAATCTG